GCATATGTTAAGTTGGAGTTAAATCTCGTCGATTAGTTTTTAATTACTTTCTAGCGTGCTTTAAGAAGCAGATGTTCTTAAAGATTTGGATGACGCTTATTTATACTTCGGTTATTGTCTGATATCTGTATACCAAGATATACATAACTAAGAATACTTAAATTAGAAGATAAGCAGCTTGTTATGTTATTTTTTTATGTTTTCTGTCAGCTATTTCTTTGCTTACTAATATTTCGATTAGACACCTCCGAAATATAATTATTTGATTGTGGATTTTATGCATTTTTGACAAAAATGACTAAAACAAAAACAAAAAATTAAGAACATTAGAAGAATTTGAGAATAACTTATGTATTATGTATAACTTATTCAAATTATTAAAAGTGATAAGACAGTTCCATCTGACTTGCAATTCTTATAATTAATTTAGACAATGTTTATTTTGCATAAATATCCGCAGTCTAATATAATTAGTTAATTTAAGTGCTTATTGAACCTATCCATAATTACTAGAATTGTAATCATGTTGAGTTAACAAATGGAATGATCGTAAATAGAACTCTGTCAAAATGCTTTTGTGTGAATTACGTAGTAATGTATAGAATTAATTTAAAGGTTGTGTTACATTGACATCGAATTTAGTCTATCCATTATAATTAAGTTCGGCCTGTGATGGGTTACATTCATGTTAAATCTAAACTATATCTACTTTGAGCCTTTCAACGAGTATTATTTTACTAATACTCTTAGAAGATTGTAAACAGAATTGGATGTATAAATATTTTTATTATAATTCGTTATAATCGAAAGATGGTAACGTTGCAATACAACAAACAATACATCACATCTTTTAGCCCTCCCAGTACCGGTGATTGGGTGTTTACGCGCAGCTCCACGTTCGGGTTCAGACGGGCCCATGACCTTACGTATACGAACATTTTAAACCAAAATTTTGTTGCTGTTATCACCATTATTATTATTATTACTATTATTATTACTATAATTTTACTGTACTTGTCTACATGGTAATTACATTTGCTACATTTGTTTTTGTATTTGTTGTCGTTACACTAACATAAACAAACGTTAGTCAAACGGTCAAGGCAAGCCTCGAGTTCCGGGTCCGAAAAACCCCAGACCTGGTACAGTGAGAGTTAGTAACAAATATTGTAAGCGTATCAATAATTTCTTAGACTGGGAAAGCAATAATTTCAATAAAAGAGAATGTTCATTTAAGAATGAATCGTATTTATTAATTCATTTATTAATGCTTTAAACCAGATGATTTATTTTGTTTCTCAACTACAATCTTCATCAGTTTGCCTTGAAGATTCCCAACTAATAATCTTCATCACCAGTTTTGTAATTGTTAGTAATTATTAGACTGCGGGTCTTTGTGCAAAATAAAAATGTTGCAACTTCCGTTGCACGAAACAGTAACTGCATAGATATTTATTTTTTCTCTTAATAACTTGGATAAGTTACAAATAATCAGAGATGAGCAAATTTAGTTCTATTTAATTTTTAATTCTAATTATAAATTACATTAAAATTTCATTTGCAAAGACCATTATAATTATAATGATAATTAATAAGTGACAATTGAAATTGTCTTTATAAATAAGAAATAAATTGTATTATTTCAAATAATTTAAATAAAGGAGTTGAATTCTTAATATTTGTCTAGTAATTATAGAAGTGTTACCAATTCCTTGTTGTCATTCTTACTGTCACTTCTACATTATCTAAAAGATATATAAAACAAAGATAAGGATATAGAAGATAAGGAATATGTTCAAGATTTTTAATATTATAAATTAGAAGATTCGAATAACTTTCATCTATTGCTATAATCTTAGTACATCTTTTGATAATCTTCTTATAAAGTGGTACACGTTTCTATATTAACATAGGTTTTCTTGGTATAATTTTATACTTTTATCATGGCAATTCCAAAAGTTATAAATAACGAAACANAAAATTATAATTAACGAAAATCGGTAAAAACATTTTTTTGTCTGACATATTGATACATATTATGTATGTATAAATATGTTCGACCTTAATCGTACCCTATGTGCGATTTCGCGGTTAGGTTTAAGATCAGTTTACTCAGACTGCTTTGTTTCTCTCGAACATAATAGGAAAAGTTCGATGTTCCATTGTAGTGACCTAAATGTTTTCGATCATAAAGTTTGAGAAATAATCTTACCAGATATCCTTCTTTCCCAGTCTGAAAACATAATCGTGAAACTTTAATAATAAAAGTAGAAAAGTTCATTTTCCATGTTGTCTAGATGAAATTCATCTGATTTAAATAAATGATGCAGGATTTAAAAAACAATACAAATATATCCTGCAACGATTAGACCAATTTCCACACATGGCTTTTTTGCAATAATATTCTATAAAAACATGCATCTCTGTAATATTCGCTGTCAATTTATTACTTTGCACTTCCAATTCGATTTCTGAGTTTATATTCTTTTTAAGCGAGTATCTTATATGATTTTTAAAATTCTGTCCACTCCTGAAAACTCGAATGTAATTATTAGACTGCGGATTGTTATATTCTACTTCCATTATAACAAATAGGAGTTAAAAATTCTCGAAACACATTAGTTTCCAATATTCAATTGCAATATTCTTATAATTATTTATTTATTATTTCAATAATTTCGCGTTACTAAAATAATTACTGATATTTAATTAAATTAAATAAAGATTGCTTTTTCTATTATGTATTAATAAAAACAAAATAAAAATTCATCGTTTAAGTATTTATCAGTAATAAATGCAAACAAAATAGTGTGCTTGTAAATTGTATAATTTAGAAATTTTTATTTTAATCTAAAACAGTGAAAATATTAAAATAAGCTAAGAATGTCGATATATCAATTCGAACTTATTAGAATTATAAAGGAAAGGAAAAATTCGTGTTTGGCTCTTATGTCTTGCAATTTAAGCATAAGTTGCTATGGATTTGAGAGTGCACGATGATTTTTAAAAGTTCAGTCGAGAAATGAAATTTTTCGTACGATGATGTCTTTTAAAGGTGAACGACTGAAGTTCAAGTTTTTAAAGGCCAGTTACTTTCTCGATATTACCTGAACCTCGAATGGAGAGCTGAAAATATCGCGAATGCAATTAATGAGGAATTCCGTGATATCGCAAGTAGCTGTGTAACAAAACGGTTATAATATAGCAGTCTCTATATTAACGAATATTATCGAAAGCATTGGAAATATTTTTCTGAAAAAAAAAATTTTCCCTTTATAATTCCCATTCATTCTAGTTTTTAACGAAATTCTCATTTTATTGTACTACGTAATCGCATAAATGTAAAATATCGTTCGTTAATAATTAAGCATACAAATAAATAAACCATATGTATTTAACACGTTATTTTATATGTTAGTATGTTACTTAAAAATCTTCTCGTCGTTGAATGTAGAAAAATATATTTTTTTCGAACCTTCTTTAATGTACATTTTTCAAAAAATATTTTTTTAAGATACTAGATTGAAATTTTTTAAATTGACAATTGTCTGATGCAATAAATATGGCCATTCGCGTGATAATGTTGATTTCTCGTTGGTGTCAATCACAGTATTTGATTAATGTTTGTGGTACACCACGTATAGTACAACATACCAAGTCAGTAAATACTTGATCGTCCTAATGAAAGTGTCAATTATGATGTAGAGGCAAGTATACAGGGTGTCTGACAAAAAGTAGTCTACGTAGATTTTTATCTATGTTATGATAATTTCTAATATATTTCGGATACAGTTTAAAGTGTACGAAAGACTAAATCTTTAATCATGTTTTTGACAATAAGCCACCATGAGACGTTTACCAATACATTAATATTTTCTCAGCACTCGGCTATAGGGCAAATCTTATTTATAAATGCTCCTATGCTGATAAATAGTTCAATAGATC